ATTTTTGCTCCCGGGGGGGGGTGGGCATTTGGCTGTCCCCGGTGGGGCACTGCCCCCCCCCCACCCTGGAGATATAGCTGAAAAAAACCCTGACTGCGAATAATGGGGGGAAAAAAATTATGTTCTAACATATCCTGACATTTTATCAGTACCAATCGTTTTATTCAGTGTTATAAGTATCAGAGAGACGATATACAAGTCTATGTGCTCCATGTTTCACGTGTGTGAGTTGGGGTGGGGGGAGTGTGTGTGAATGTGTGTGTGTGAATAAGATTGTGTCGTCAGAGGACATTTCAAGTATGAGAACATTATTTACGAAGTCTAGGCAAAGAGGCCCGGGGAGGGGTAGAGTGTGTGTGTGAATGTGTGTATAAGATTGTGTTGTCAGAGGACATTTCAAGTATATGAGAACATTAGTTACGACGTCTAGGCAAAGAGGCCCAGTGGGTTACCTTGACTTAATGGGGCCCAGGGAAAACTCCCAAAAGTGCGCCCCCTAACGCACAAACATTTTTATACGTTGTTACACACAACCTAAAAAAAAGCCCCCCCCCCCCAAACACACACACTTTTTTCGCACACCGTAGCTTTGCCAATGGACCTAGGGTGTGTTTTTTGCCAATGGGCCTAGGATGTGCCCTTTGCCAATGTGCCTAGGATGTGTCCTTTGCCAATGGGCTCAGGATGTGTCCTTTGCCAATGGGCCTAGGATGTGTCCTTTGCCAATGGGCCTAGGATGTGTCCTTTGCCAATGGGCCTAGGATGTGTCCTTTGCCAATGGGCTTAGGGTGTGTCCTTTGCAGGATGTCTTGAAGTATATTGATCGAGTGTTCACTTCTATGGAAATTTTTGTAATTTGCATTAACCATTGCTCAATTTTGGGACTACCTTTAAAGACTCTGGGAAGCGTAAACTCTAAGAGTGTTGTGAGTAAATATTGCATTAATAATCTTTTGTTGACTGAATGGGGGTTGAAGGGTCTTAAAAATATTTGATGTTAATGGGGATCCTCAGACCATTCAAGTTAAAAAAACAAACTGCTGATAATAATCATTTTACAGTCATATAAACCACCAGCATGCCTACAATTATTGTTGAAAAAGAAAAATACTTTATCTTATTAGCCAGGTTTTTTTTTAAATCTTGTGTTTTATAATTTCAAATATTAAAGAAAAAAGAAAAAAAAGAGACCAGATTTCTCATCTCATGGCCCTTGTTAGGTTACAGTCCCTACATTGACTTGATTTTAACAGGAGTATTGTGTACAGTTTACATTTATTGTAATTGTAGCTGAATGTGTTAAATTATATGGTCTGGATGTGGAGATTTTGATACATTTGTTTTATTGATTCTGTTACCTTAGGTCTTCCTTAAATGCATAATGTTTTTTTTTTTCTATTTGCTAATATTGTGTTAGATTGGAGAGTTACTTGGAAATAGACTATTTATTGAGTTAGCATTCCATGGAACTAAATCAAAGTTTCACAAACGTACATCACACAGCGTATGCTCAAAAATACACAGACAGTAATAATACAAATTTAAATATTATTCAATAACACAAAAAAAAAAAGATAATTCAGAAAATAAATTTTATTTTAATTAGACACAACCAGTTTGTGTAAATAAAACAGTATATGTTCAGCTTTAAATTGTGTTTGTTTCTAATTAATATACTTTAAAGCTTTATCGCTGTCCAACACTCTTATAATTAGTTAAGAAAATAAATTGCAACACTACCTTGGTTTTGAAAGTCTCAAGACGGGTTTTTTTAAAGCAACTATTTGAGTATAGACATCTTTAAACACTGACCTGACCACACACTGAGAACACTGAGTTAACCACACACTGAGAACATTGAGCTGACCACACACTGAGAACGCTGAGCTGACCACACATTGAGAACACTGAGCTGACCACACACTGAGAACGCTGAGTTAACCACACACTGAGAACATTGAGCTGACCACACACTGAGAACGCTGAGTTAACCACACACTGAGAACACTGAGTTAACCACACACTGAGAACACTGAGTTAACCACACACTGAGAACATTGAGTTAACCACAAACTGAGAACATTGAGTTAACCACACACTGAGAACACTAAGTTAACCACACACTGAGAACACTGAGTTAACCACACACTGAGAACACTGAGTTAACCACACACTGAGAACATTGAGCTGACCACACACTGAGAACGCTGAGCTGACCACACACTGAGAACATTGAGTTAACCACACACTGAGAACACTGAGTTAACCACACACTGAGAACACTGAGTTAACCACACACTGAGAACACTGAGTTAACCACATACTGAAAACACTGAGTTAACCACACACTGAGAACACTGAGTTAACCACACACTGAGAACATTGAGTTAACCACACACTGAGAACACTGAGTTAACCACACACGGACTGAACTTTCCTGTTTGCTATTCGCACCATTACTGGGAAGCGACAATGTTCTCATATTGGTCAGTAACATTCTTTGTTGTGTGACGCTCCTTTCATGGGAAAAACAGTAACTGTTCAACTAGGAAACAGACATTCACACAATGTGACCAGTCTTTCACATCTTTACATAATCAGTTTCTAAACCACAACACATAGCATTTCCTGGGTCATTAAGTAAGTTATAACAATAATCTGCTTGTCTCTATTTATTTATTTATTTAGGCATTTTTACATAGCGCTTATCATAAAGCTCTAAGCGCTTTACAATTATTAAAACATGTAAACTAAGTAAATACAAATGAGACACTAGGATAGTAACTACTATTCTATAGAAACAATGAAAATGGCTATAAAACGAGGACACTTTGACACTTCAGGATCAACCCGAAACAGAAAATGAGGTAGGGCAAGGAGGGTGCATCACAGGTCATAGGCGGACCTAAACAGATGAGTTTTAAGGGACTTTTTGAAAATGGACGAGGTTTCACTATGACGTATATGGAAGGGGAGCTGGTTCCAGAACGTGGGCCCATGGAAGCAGAAGGAGCGTTCACCGATGGTCTTAGTTTTAGTTCTTGGGATTGAGAGGGTTCTACTGTCAATGGAAGAACGTAGTTGTCTTGTGGGGATGTAAGGAAGCAACAGTTCAGAGAGATAGACAGGAAAGTGAGGGTCAGTGAACGAGTTGAAGCAAAGATTGGAAGACTTGTATTTGATGCGAGAGGATCATCCCTATCATCTCTATCCCCCCATGGAAGAATTATTTTCAATTCACTCCTGACCAAATCTTTTTAATTTTTTTTTTTAAAGGTAATCCATTGTCTTCTTTGATCTGTTTGATTTTACCGTGGCAATAAACTATCTATTGCATTAGAGGTGTTGTTTGGACATCCAAGCAAGCAGGACCCCTGGGGTTCTTAAAGCGTAACCTGAAGATTGGCAACTCCTGTGTAAAAGAAAGAGCAAATAAAGCCTTTGTCCTTCCGATTTTAGATTTTGCATCTTCAGTCTGGGACCCATTTACCCAGAAGAGCATTGACAGGTTGGAGGTGGTCCAGCGACGGGTGGCTCACTTTGTCCTGAACCGATACAGGAATACTTCTAGTGTTGGCAGCATGCTAGAAACACTAGGCTGGTCACCATTGGAGGAAGGACGAAGACAATCCAGGCTCTCCATGATGTACAAGATAAATAATGGGCTGGTCCACTGTTCCAGTATTAAACAGAAACTCGTCCCTCTCCCCCATAGACAGCGACGAGGCCATGGCAGCCAATTCCGGCTCATACCAGCAAGAAGCCAGTATAGGAATTGCTCATTCTTGCCCAAGACAATCAGGGACTGGAACAAGCTTTCAAAATAAACAGTTGAGGCGACAACACTAGACACATTTGCGTCTATTTCCTCAAGCCTTCCAACCCCCATTGCATGATTCCTTCACAAAGTAGCACTTGTAATCATTAACATATCCTCATCAGCACCAGGCACAGAAACATTGCAAATCCCCTCTACATGCATAGGAGCCTTATTGATCAATAAATTGATCGTGGGCCCTTAATTTATATAAAAGAGGAAGAGGAAGATATTGGTAAGCCCTTATTGCAAATTCCAGAGATAGGGTTTTATGTTCAAGGAATCTAAATCTTTAGCCAGCAAACAGTTTCTGGATCCAGCACAGCACACGTTTATTAAAAACAAGTACTCAAAACGAAATTTCCCTTTAAAAAAATTCAAAACATCTTCAATAGAATTTTAAAAAATACAAAGAAATAGTTAAATAAATAACACCGCCTTATTGCCACAATATTAAAACTAAAAATGCACTTTTCTTGCTTTTACTGGTTGATGATGTGCTAAAAGTTAATTTTCTCAGTTTTTTCTCTTTCTACGCTGAATAGAGCACGATCACAGAGTCTATCTTGTCTCATAGATGCCCTTGAATAATCAAGAAACTACAATGGTTAACATTATCTGAATAGAAATGCGAAGGCTAGAAAGAAAATAAAACGAAAAAACCCACACAGTCTCATCCATCTCTATACTAACTGTACTGAGCAATGAACTTGAGAAGTTCTCAGATCGTGTCATAATTACTCATTATGGTCCATCCAGCTGAGACGCTGGCATATACAAGAAGGACAAGTTTTTTTTTTTTTTTTTTTTTTTTTTTTTTTTTAAAAAAAAAAAAAAAATTTTTTTTTTTTTTTTTTTTTTTTTTTTTTTTTTGAACAAACAAAAAAAATATGATGACAGTGAGAAGTCGTGGAAGAAAGACTTACAAATCCGCTCAAGCTGACTAAGTCAAATGCGCTCCTCGGATCTATGAAAGTGATGAATATTGACATCTGGTGTTCTGAAAACGTGTACTTTTTAATTGTTTTATTTGAAATGCTAGACGTACAGAAATACCGAAAAAAAAAAAATGTGGGACGGGTGCCACCGCAATAAATTATTGAAAAATCCCCCTCCCCCCCCCCTCAACCCCACGTCTGATGCGCGGCCATAGCTTTCCGTATTTGAAATGCTAGACGAACAAAAATACCGAAAAAAAAAAAAATGTGGGACGGGTGCCACCGCAATAAATTATTGAAAACTCCCCCTCCCCCCCCCCTCAACCCCACGTCTGATGCGCGGCCATAGCTTTCCGACCCATGCCATAGTTCTAGAACTGGACTCATAGACTCATAGCCAGCTCCAGGCACGTAATGGACTTTACAACCATGCCACAAATACCCAAAAATAAACGTTCCCAATCCAGAACTACGTGACGTAGTCCCTACAAGTATATTTGAAGTATTTTTTTTTAATAAATTACATTTATGCACCTGTAAGAAATTATAAACGGAAAATTAACTGTGTGTGGGGGGTATCTTTATTTTTAATTCTGTGCATTTTGTGTTGTTGTTGTTGTTGTTTTTATTATAGTTTTTACTAATTCATTAAATGCATTTTTGTAAACTTTTCAAAATAAATAGGAAATCGAAGACAAAAAAGGAAGTGCCGCCATATTTTTATGACGTCATTCTTCAACAAGACTACAAAAAGCACACTTTTTCCCCCCATTTTTTTTACCACCTCAGAACTACAAAGTATCGGCCATGTAAACTACATTTTTAAAACAAATATCTACCGAGACCTGGTCATCTTGTCCAGAACATCCAACCTGCCGTAGCATCGCTCCCTCCTCCCCGTCATTGATGTTGAATTGAGAAGAAGAAGGACTCTGGCCTCTGCTGACACAGGTTTGGTGAAAACAAGAATGGCTTTAAATTTGAAAGACTTAAGACCATTCTAAATAAACTTTTAAGTTTAATATATGCCCGTCCCTCATATGAATTAGGCAAACTATTTTCTGTGGCCATTTCTGCAAAGTCAGTAGATCATTTATTGATTGGGGATATTAATAGGTTAACCAACGAATTTGCTGTTTTTTTTTTTTTTAAAGCATGTTCTTGTGATTACAGTATACCACTTTTTAAAATAATTAATAAAAGTGAAGCTTCATTTTCAATTTGTTATAGATTCATACGTTGACTCATAATTAAAATCATGAACCCCGTTTCCAACTTCAGTGATGTCTTCAACAAAATGGGAGATGGTAGACTCGCAGTGTACTTATATGCAGAGCCGTCGAGTGATTCTTGGAGGAAACCTGCCCCATTCCTGTTTTTAGTCCCCTGTTTTCAAAGTTGATAGTTGATTTTTTTTACAAATCACATCTTTGGGCCCATTAAATTATGTACTGAGGTTCACTACAGCTACAGGGTTTGCAGTGAGCATATGACAGCTCTGATATATATGAGCCCCGATCAAGGCTGCTACTATGGACAATCAGGGCTGACGGCTATCCTGCATCTATCCTAAGTGTTTTGGTAGATTCATTTTAAAATCAGTTCTGCTGCATGCCAAGTCAAAGAAATAATGTGTACACCAGGGGTCTCAAACACAAATTATCCGGGGGTCGCAGGAGGTGGAGTTTGATTTAGACTGGGCCACATTACGTTTTCCACAAAAAAGCGATTACAAATTCAATAAAGTACAACTGTTACAATCTCCTCAACCTTTATTAATAACATATAAAAACATTAAAGGGTTCTCAAGAACTAGGCTTAATTTGCTTCCTCCTATTCCTTGTTGCCAGAGACCTGGCAGCGTTTCTTCTTACACAGCTTAACAACATTTGGCTTGAGTGAGAAAGCAACTGAGTATAACTAAAAGATGTTCATCAGCAAGATTGGCCCTGAACTTTGACTTCTTAAAGTTCATAGTGAAAATGAGCTTTTCACACAGATAAGTACTCCCAAAAAAGGCACATGATCTGCTTGAACAACTTGGAAATTTCAAGGAATGTGGAGGGCAATCCTCTCATAAATTATCCATGGTTCTCTGTTTTTTTCCATTCACCCCCATGAGTTCAGAATATACTTAAGAAGCGCAATTTGGAGGGGGTGGGCTCATCTTCCACACTGAAGGAGAAAGCGTCAGCAAAAATTTGAAAAGTGTCTGTGTGTTTTAAGTCTGCAAATATGTTATCAAATTCTTCCTGTAGCTTTGCAATGGCATCAGTATACTTACTACTGAATTCCCATTGTAAGGGGAATGAATTTTTATTTTTATTTTTTTTAAAGAAAAGACCTTTTTGACAAACCTTATCCATTTTGAAAGTGACCAAGTTAACAGACTCAGAGTGTCCATCACTGGATGACGCTAGCGACAATTTTAGTTGGGATTCTTTGAATACTACGATTTACACAATTATGGTTGTGCCTTACCGACTGACTTTTTAAACTTTTCACAAAACCGCAATTTGGCCGCCATGTTCGTCTCATAAAATGTTAAAAAATAAAAACGTTTAGTCTGATTTTTAAAACGGATTATACCATTATAATCAACGTCCAAATCTATATACAAATCAGAATTAGATTAGTCTGTAAAATTCACATTATAGATATGAGAATGGGGAAAACGCGAGGGCTGCATTACTATTAAACTTTGCTGTCAGGTATTTGGCCGAAAATATCGTATCGCTGGCCGCAATTGGCCCGCGGGCCGCAAATTTGAGACCACTGGTCTACACATTTCCACGGCACGCTGTTTTCCGATTGAGCCGTGAGTATAGTGTCTTACAAGCTGTGTAATATGCGATGATGAAGAAAGGCTGCACTAAACTGAAGTAATTCCCTTTTCTTGTCGCCGGACATTCAAAAAATAAAATAATCGACTTTACAGGAGCAGCCCCCTGTGCACGGAGACCAGAGTCCAGAGCTGCCGTCGACTCCATGCAGGTGGCGACCACACTCTATTCGAGAGGGTATCGGCTTGGTCCACGAATCGGAAAAGGCAGCTATGCCAAAGTCAAGATCGCTGAGAGAGTGGCAGACAGCAGGATCTTGGCCGCGAAGGTTTGTGTAGCCACAAGACTTTTAGTGTGCAATAACTATAAGTAGGTATCACTAGATTTCGTTTTTTCCCGCTCTCTTTTACACACACATGGCACGTACACACACGCCAATAGAGCGAGTGAGTGGCTAGAAAGAGAGAGAGAGAGAGAGAGAGAGAGAGAGAGAGGGGGGAGAGGGAGAGAGAGAGAGAGAGAGAGAGAGAGAGAGAGAGAGAGAGAGAGAGGACATCGAAAGAGAGAGAAGAGAGAGATCACACACATGGCGCGGACACACACGCAAAGAGAGAGAGAGAGAGGGGAGAAAGAGAGAGAGAGAGAGAGAGAGAGAGAGAGAGAGGGGGGAGAGGGATAGAGAGAGAGAGAGAGAGAGAGAGAGAGAGAGAGAGAAAGAGATAGGACATCGAATAAGTGAGAGTAGAGAGAAAGAAAAGGAGAGGGAGAGAAAGGAAGAGGAAATGGAACGAGTGGGGGAGATGAGAGATATTGACATATGGATTAAGTCATAATGAGCTTTACGGAAAGGATCAAACATCATAATGAAACGTTGTGTGCCAAGAGCTCACTGGAAGCTATACGTAAATTACTTAATGTTGTTCACGAATTTTTGCCCAGCAACGTCACTATGAGTTGGAGTTACCCAGTGTGGTAAACTCGTGGTGCCACCCACTCCAGACTTCCCCACGCCTGCTCTGGTGACAGCTTGCTCTGATGACACCTGCTCTGGTGGCAACCTGATCTAATGCAACCTACTCTGGTGACACCCTCTTCTGATGGTGCTCTTCTTTTACTGAACTTGGATCTGTTACGAAACCGACTCGAGCGAGTACTGACAAATTCGCAAAAGAATGCTACCCGGTGCGATCCGCTACCCACTCCCACCAGTGACGCTACTGTCCATGCAGGGTTTTTTTCAGCTCTATCTCCGGGGGGTGGGGGCAGTGCCCCCCGGGTAAAGCCAAGTGCCCCCCCCAAGCAAAAATATGTCCAACAATAAATCAACTGGAACTGCTGGCACTGCCCCCCCCCTCCCCTTTCCGAAAAATCTGAAGTGCCCTCCCGGGGGAAAATTTCTGAAAGAAACACTTTGTACATGATTCATAGTTTTCGAATATATTTTAACGCTTTCTGCGTTCACTCTATAGTACAAACTTATTATAGCCTAGCGAACGGTCTTTACACAATCCCCTCTTAAATAATCTATCGGGTGCGTGAAGTTCGATTGAACTTTGAAGATCTCTAAAACAACCCTGATATTTGTTAACCATGTCTAAAAGCAATTTGTTTTCTCTTTTAGATCATATGTCGACGTCGCGCTCCAAAGGAATTTCTCGACAAATTCATGCCCAGAGAACTGTCCGTGATCCTCTCATTGAGTCACCCAAACGTAGCGAAAATTTATGAGGTAACCCTTGTTCAGTATACAGATAAAATAGCTGTAAGAAATCGCGTTGTCGTGTCCGTGTGAAAATGAAACACATTCGAATATATAATATATGATAGGATAACATGAAAAGTAAACGGTTCTTTGTGGATGAAGCTGAACAGAAGTGTTCATGAAAAGGGATCGGTTGGAATATTTCAAAAAGTCGTCGATTCTTTTAAAAATAACTTGTTAATGGCGGTGTGCAATATGGGCTGCATAGCTCACGTCTTTCTTGTAATTAAAAAAAAACCATTGAGCTTATTTATAAACTAATTTATTGCCATTGAATGCTATTAATCAGGGATGGTCCAATGCAGGTTTTGGTCCTGTTAACTGTGGCACCAGTTGGACAAACCGATATCTGCTATATTTTTACATAGAAATTTCGTTATGAAACACTTTTTTAAATTACATTTTTATTTTATAATTTATATTGGACCACTGTGTCTTAATACTTGTTTACGTGCATATTAACAAAGATTAAAATACATTATTATATATTTAATGTTTTCGTCCCCCCAAAACCATAGACTGGCTCCCTAAAAAATAATAAAAATTTTGGCAAGCTGCTTCTATTGACCCCACCCCCTTTTTTTTTCTCTCTCTCTGTTTTATAACTTGTAACTCCTAAATCCCGTTAAGCGGGAACCAATACTTTATAATATCATTTAAAATATTTTCTTTTGTAATCACTTTGACTTCAAAAGATTATTCACACCAATGAAATTGTTTGCATTATCATGGAGTTTGCCGAACGAGGGGATCTACTCGATTACATCAAGAGACGCGGGGCACTGAATGAACGGTTGGCTGGTAAACTCTTTGCTCAAGTAAGTTTTAAAAGATTTAAAACAAAAATAATTTTGTACTTGATGAACAGATCACAAAATAGAAATTCAGAGTCATTATATCCTGATGGTAGCATTAATTTTTAAGGTTAGTGTAGCTAAAACAACGAACGTCACTCTTGCCTTTGGGGCCAAGGATCACCCGTTAATTGAAGCTCGGCTGCCTTCAAATGTGGCTGCATTTTCTGAGGTGAAAAAATATGACGACTTCGGCATGCTTCCAATTCCAAGAGACGATGGTTTAACCTCGCATGGAAACTATAGTGAAACCACGGAACCAATACGAGTTTTTTTTTTATGTAACGTCAACAGTTTCTTAAGCAGCACCCCCCTCCCCCACACACACACTTTTTTTTTTGAAGTTGTTGGTCTAATAGCCGTGAAAAAGAGAGGGTTAAGGGGGTGACCAACAGACAGAGTCGGCCTTTAGGGGGTGCGACCTGTTCCCTCGCACAAGGCGCCGTGGCCATAGGGGCGCCTGGGACGCCCAGTAAATATTCAAACTCCCTTAGTTTATTATAGTGAAGTGTGACCCTTGGGTCCGGGGGTCGAGAAACGGTATTCTAACTTTTCGTAAAATCCCTTTTCATACAATGAAAGTTGCATTCATGATAACTAACACTCGGGTTGGGACCAACCGAAGGGGCATGGAAATAAATTTATTAATACTGTATTTCCTTGCCGTCTTACAATTATTTCAGCAGAAAGAATATGGGGAACAAAAAGCTTTCCGGGGCGCATCATCGCAAGCGCAAAGCAGAAAAAGTTCGCCGTAATCGGAAAAAGAACGGAGCCATACAGGGACAGGGAAGGGGGCGCCGAACGGGTGCTCGTACAGGGCGAAAGTTTACCCAAGGCTTAACTTTGGCGCCCTTATAAAGTATGATCATTACAGGAAAAAAAACAGTTATTCGTTAATGAGTTTATTAGCTACGTTGTTTTGTTAAAACAAACAGTATGAACGATTACCAAATAACGATTTTTCTCCTTTAAAGATTATAATTATAAAGGGCGCCAAAGTTAAGCTTGCACAGGGCGTCAGCAACCGTCGGGCCGGCCCTGCAACCGGGCGCCAGTCTCAGTGGGCGCAAATATAGTAAATTATAATTAAATGATGTATAATTCCCATATAATTTATTATTTAATGATGGAATTGGGGGGGGGGGGAGCATTTTAAAGCGTTGCATTTGGGCTTAGCTTTTCCTCGGCATGGACCTGCAGCTTGGCACCAATTAGCTCAGTGTTGGAACCCCTACGGGGCTCTATCTCCGTATTATTCTGCCTGCGTTTACTCATCTATAGCTCTAACCATAAAGGATGTAGCCGCAAGCCATCGCAGGCCTAATGTATTGTTAACATTTTCTTTCTCTGTGTCGTGTCGACCTCCGAGGCGGACTCGTCCCGTCCACTCTAATGTGAGTGTACACTGTAGTTAGTGTCTGGTATGACTTGGGTCTGACCTCAAGCCTACGAGTATGTCTGGTTGACCGTGCCACCGTGTCGCAAGAAGTGTCGACACTGAACATGGTATACATTCTTGCGGCTTGGGTTTCACAAAACCCTGTGGAGTATTAACTTGTAAATAAACCCAGGGTGCTTTTCAGAGAACGAGGATTTGCTTTGTTTGTGTCTTTACTGAAATTCAATAAATTCCCCAATAGGTGTGCCAAGGTGTGGATTATCTCCACAGTCGCTGGATCTGTCACAGAGACTTAAAGTGTGAAAACATTTTACTAAGGCGAGACATGACAGCAACTTTGTCTGATTTCGGATTCTCCAGAACTATACATGACCAAAGATTTCTGAGCAGGTATTTACTTAATCATTTTTTTTTTTTTTTTTTTTTTTTTAATTTTTTTTTTTTTTTTTTTTTTTTTTTTTTTGAATGTGTGTTTGTGTTTTATGTTCAAATTCCATTGTAAAATAATTATAAGTACATGTCTATCATTTATACATTGACAGTAATTGACCCATTAAAAATAAATAAACATTAGTTAGTCATAATATTATTAATAAATTTAGGCAGTTCTGTTGAAATAAATTACATTCTTAAAATAGTTTTTTTTAAAATAAAATTATTATTATTGTTTGTAGTTTTCTACAATAGTGTTTGTTTCGTAGGGGAGAGCCGGATCGGTTGTCTCACACTTTTTACATTTTTTTGTCCACCATCAATTTAGTTTATATTTAAATGAAGTAAAATTTTTACCTAGTGGTAGTTAAGTCATTTACGGTTAATATGGTACGAGTTGAATTAGATATAGGATACTATTTTTGAGATATTGCTGTGTCTACAAGGTCTCCAGCATGTGACATGAGCCCCACCCACGGGGCTGTTTGTCAAATGGCGTTGTGTAGGTTGTCACTTAGTGTTGGGTAGGTTGTCACATAGTGTTGGGGTAGGTTGTCATAAAGTGTTGGGTAGTTTGTCACATCATGTTTTCATGTGCATTTAGACAAAGTAATTAGCCGATAATCTGCGCTGATTGGTTTACTTATCTGAAATATATTATGTCTAAAGTGTAGCATCTAGACTAAGTTTAGGCTAAACATATAAAGATAACTTTAATTACTTTCAGTATTATTGTCGTTGTGAATTAGGTTATCTAAAAGAGCTTAATTGACGGTCCCTCACTGACTAGTTCCCGGCTTCACTCAATAGAATGATCAAACTCATTTCTGTATTTTACATTCTAAAGAAATCTAGGGCATTTTATACTTTTTGGACTCATAAGGTACAGAAAATGTACATTTTTTGACAACCTATGACTTTTTCAGCAATGAGTTAGAACATTTAAATTGCTTGTACAGACAGTAATGCATAGAATAGACTAAGGCTGTAATGCATAGAATACACTTAGTAATGCATAGAACAGACTCAGACTCTAACGTATATAACAGATTTAGAATGTAATGCATAGAACAAACTTAAACAGAAATGCATAGAACCGACTTAGAAAGTAATGCATAGAGCAGACTTAGAAAGTAGTGGATAAAACATAATACTTTTTTTCGGGGTTTAACTTTGATTGGAAACCAACATCTATTCATCCAATAGTGGGACTAAGGACAATTTTAGAAAATACACAGATTAAATGAGTGAAAACTAAAAATAAAAATCGAACAACCTAGTCTTATGTAATTATCATAATGTTTAATGAAATAGTTGCTTAAGAGAAGGAATATTTTGTACCAAGAATTTTCTAAAAGTTATATTCTAAATTATATTTGAAAGGATTTGCATATTACACCATGACACCCAGTCCCCAGAAAGTTTGAGACACGCTACCTCATCATGAATAACTTGCCGTTGAATTGATTTTACACTGAAACGTGCAAGTTTAAGAAAATATCTTTATAGGTTTTAAATCTAAAATAAATAATACAACTACTGACGTGATAAAATAAATATAATTTATAGCTTAAACTTTAATAAAAGAAAAAAAGATCATAGTAGGAGAAAATTTACTTATCATTTCAAAACAGAAAAATCTCAAAATCTATTTTTTACACGTTCAAACCATTTGAAATGAAGTATGATACTATTTAGTTGTGCCTTTTAGCACCGGATTTAAATAGGTCGCATTTTATCTGGTCTTTACAATATAAGCGATGAGACAACCAGCCCCCTCCTTTTTTGCGAAAATCATTGGTCCACAGTTTAAAAATATGATATGAAGTCCTTCAATGCAAAAATTTTGAAGAAAATATTTTTATAGGTGATGTGATCATGATGATTTGTTTTATGGTTGCGGATTGCTAAAAACCTTTAACCAATGAAATCCTATTGACGCTAACTTCTCCACAGCACGTATTGCGGCAGCGCTGCTTATGCTTCTCCTGAACTCTTGCGTGGTAAACCCTACAAGCCTCTGCAGAGCGACATCTGGAGTCTCGGCTGCATACTATTTATAATGGTCACCGGCCAGATGCCTTTCTATGATAAAAACACGAAAAAGGCGAGCTATGCGTGATCTACGTCTTTGGCTTACACAATGTTAATGAGTATTTATTTTTAACATCCCTTATAAGTGCCACGCTGAATTTTAGAAAAAATAAATAAAAATAACATGGGTAGGCTTGTAAATTTTGTTTTTAACTTTACGTGGCGCCTTGAAATAGTACCCCCCCCCCCCAATCCAACTTTCCCAAACAGTGAGATTACCTTACCGTAGTTTGGAGACCAGTGATCCAGATAATTTTGTCACACATCTGTTTAACAAACAAATGTCTCTAGTATTGTTTGATGTGAAGTCTTTTGTCACAGCCATGCTACTTTATTGTGTTATATTGTTCAACTTACATAATGGCGTATCAGTTTTTACCAGTGAAGAAATAAAATAAATAGACGCTTCTCATTTTTCTATTAAAGGATATTGTAAAACTTGAAGCGTTCCCATTAACATTTTAATAAACGACGTGGAATGCTTCTCACTGACTCGAAGAACGAGATTTTAATGTTTGCCTGCAATTAAAAAAAATATATATACAAACAAACAAAAAAGCACAACCATTAAAGTTATTTAAAGAGTTCAGTACAGATCGTTCAAAAAAGGAATCATTATATAATTTCATTACAACGGAAGACCCAAAGAAATCTGACAGAGAAACAAATATAGAGAGAGGCCAATGTTGAATAGAAAGCTGATCCCGGAGACAGCTCCCACAGATACAGGCAATGTACGGACGTGCTGAATATTCACTGTTGTTTCCAACGCCCGAATAAGATCTCTTTGGACAGCGGTCCTCAATCTAAGGGTCACGGCCCCTTTGTGGGGTCGAACGACACTTACAGGGGGGTCACTTAAGACAGTAGGAAAACACATATTTTTTGAAGTAGCTACGAAAATAATGTTATGGTCGGGGGTCACCGCAACATGAGGAATTGTATTTAAGGGACGCGGTATTAGGAAGGTTGAGACACACTGTCTTATATTTTTATATTTCTGTTTTCGCAGATGATGTACCGGCAGCTGAAAGGAAAGGTCAACTTTCCAGAAAACCGAAACATTTCCCTCGGCTGCAAGCATCTAATAACCAGCACCCTAGAGCCCAACAGCGATCTCAGATACAACATCAAAGACATTCTATCGCACTCATGGGTCCAGCTCTACATTGATGTGACACGTGTATCGGCGGTCAGCTGCTCGGCTGCTCAGACGGAGGTTCCTCAGCAGGATTTAGAGCCTGGGCCAATAGCGGTCTCTGAAAGATTGAATTTGAAAGAGAAAGTAGAATACATGCAGAAAACATCGGCTAGTGGGTCGTCGTTGTGTGGTGACAGTGAGCAGCTCGACAAGCAGAAGCCTCCGGCAGAGAGGGTGGTGGATTTATCGGCCGAGTGTGAATCCAACGCGCTAGATGAGAAACTATCCTCGACGTCTGTGGAGTCTGAGTTCGATCAGAACCAGATCCTGACTCTGGTAAAGAACTCCCTGTGCCGCATGCCGGGAAGGGCGTGCATCACACACGTTAACGCTAAGGCTGAGCTTGACAGCAAGAGTATTGACGACGACACGAGCAGCAAGATCTCCAACGTGTCCGTCGTACAGCAGGGTACCAGCGATTCACTTATCGTGATAGAGACGAATCCTTTTGGCAAATGTCAGATGTCATCAAGTGTGGATGACCGTGAGTACGTCGTCAGGAAAACGCATGGACCAAGCGCGGGATCAGTCAAGGGTAATTCCAAAAAAATGTCGGAAAAGAGCAATGATGAACAATTCAAGATGACCATCAAAAAGATCCTACAAATCCCCATCACCAGGACGCGAACAGGAATAGAGCAGCAGAGCACGGGGTCGAGCATGCGCAGTTTAAACGGAACATCAATAAGCTTGCCGACCAGTCAAGAATCATCAGACACAGAAGACATCGACGTAGCCCAGTCAGGGTCGTCGGTCCACGATAGGATAGCACCGTCGCAAAAATCGTTGAATGTCACAATGGCGGCCAACACTGACGTGGCGACCAAAAAATTCAAACAAGATATTTCCTCAGAACAGAACCGTAGGTACCAAGAGGGTCTTGTCACACAAATGCGACGGATATTTGAATCTAAAGAAGCAAGCACAACCACCTCAAACAGATCAAAGTAATAAAAAAAATATACATATGTTTGGATATGACAGCTGTGTTAACGCTTGTTTTAATGAAAGATCTACCTCAATAATACAGAAATGAAACGGAAATACAATTAAGTGGAGAGTGGGCAATGTCCTCTCGCCCTATGGGAAGCTCAGCCACACGCGGCTGTACAGTCATAGGACCGTCATCTTGATTTGGCGGAGGTGGAGGGCCCGGGGGAGGAGGTGGGGTACTGATCTGATCATTTAGGTCCTTCAAATTAATCAGGTGTCGTGTCAGATGTATTTTATGTTATGGTTTTGCCGGGAATGGAAATAATCGCAAATTGAACGAAGAAATAAGTTCATTTAATGGAGGATGCCCACAATATTTAATGCGGCCGAGCATGTATCGGCCACCCCGTTCTGAACCCACATAAGAAATAAGAAGAAAACATAATTGCAGGTTGAAAATTTAATTAAAACTTTTCTTTATTCGTATTCAAAGAAGAAAACATTGTCAATGACGTCATCAAATTTAAATTCTTCACCTTCTCCCTTTTAAATTAAAAAATCGCAAGACCAGAAAGCCTGGACTGTTCCATTGTGGATCACAGATCATTCATATTTCAGTTTGGAAACACACCTCTCGCATGAAACGACAGATCATGAAAACAATTGTTGGCTTAATGAGAGGATTGGGAGAAAATCCCACACAACCCTGATCTGATGGTATCCTGCTCTGATGGTATCCTGCTCTGAGGGTATCCTGCTCTGATGGTATCCTGCTCTGATGGTATCCTGCTCTGATGGTATCCTGCTCTGGTGGTATCCTGCTCTGGTGGTATCCTGCTCTGATGGTATCCTGCTCTGATGGTATCCTGCTCTGATGGTATCCTGCTCTGATGGTATCCTGCTCTGATGGTATCCTGCTCTGGTGGTATCCTGCTCTGATGGTATCCTGCTCTGATGGTATCCTGCTCTGGTGGAATCATGCTCTAGTGAAATGCTGCTCATTTGGCACCCTCTTCTGTTTGCAATCTAGTTTGATGGCACCCCTGCTATGTCTGATGCCACCCTCTTCTGGTGGCATCATGTTCTGGTGGCACCATATTCTGATTGCACCATGTTCTGATTGCTCCCTGTTCTGGTGGCACCCTATTCTGTGGGATCCTTTCTGATGTCACCATGCTCTAGTCGCATCTCCTTCTAATGGGCACCATGTTCATATATTAAACTGTAATGAAACAGATTCGAGCGAACTCTTTCAAATTCGCATTTTCCATGTTGGTGTTACAAACCTGTGAGGGTGTCACCCCCTCCCCATGCCCTGGTATGACCCACATCCCCTAGTGACGCCTCTCTTGAGTGTGGATACATGTGTCTGTGTATGCGTCAAGCACACTAGGTTCACCAAAGTTAGTTATTAGATGATTATCATTTAGTGGATCACGTATACAAAAAAAACTGAGACTTTTTATTCCGGAAATATTTTAAAAGATTGCAAAAAGCCCCACCCCCCCCCCCCCCCCCACCTCAACTAAATCGGTCATCTAGATCAGGTTTTTTAAACATTTTAAAAATTCGTCAGACACACTAAAACTAATTACTGCAACACAACATAGTCTACAAGCAGATAATATTTGGGGGCCTGCGGTCAAGTCGTGAGAAATAAACAAATACGGTAGCAAGATATGTTTAGGCTTGAAAAAGACAGAGCAATAAAAAGGACGTTTCAGCAATAATAAAAAAAAACAACAAACAAATGATTTGAAATACTTAATTGTTTCCCAGATCAAATGGAGTTTTCTCAGTTTCGGCTCACTTAATTTTTAAAAAAAAAATTATTTGCCAGAAACTGATAATGCTGTTATTTGGGAACACTTAAATTGCCAATCCTTAGAGAGTCCAACACAAATAAAATAAAGAAACCCGGACCAAAATGGTCTTTGAGATAGAGTAAATAGAAAGGTTTGGGGTCCCCAGTGGATGATTGTGACAACTCCCTTAATTGCTTAATATTACAATATCTTCTAAAGATGTAGACTTGCTAATATTCTAAGTTATATAGCAGCCCTGCACAACATGCGGCCCGCAAAGTAACGAAATATTATTATTTTCTTAATAGCTTTCCCCGGTCCTAGTTTTGGGCCCGTACAAGATCTTTATAAAGTATTACGACCACCCATAAATTTTGAGTTGTGCCAGCCGGTTGTAGAGAATAAAATCCACTTTACGGCAAGATAAAAATATATAGCATAGTACCCTAAGGTTTCCGAGGAATAAATTATTGAGCTTATACAAAAAGCAAACATTGGGATTCCCTATATAAGCACGGTCTAACGGTGGGGAGAGGAGAGGTTAATGAGGTGTTGTGTAGCCTGAGTCTTTGGTCAAATTCCACGACGATGTTGGGTTTTCTTGGTATACAATACCACATCTTCCCAGACGTTTGGATTCTAGCGTTCTTGCTGACTCGACTAAATATGAAATTTTACAAGCTTATAAGAAAATACAGATATAATAATACAAAGGAATCTCATTGTCACTTTTTATTATTAGAATATGTTTATATAATACAAGATACGTGGAAAATAAAATAATAGTAAATTGGTGTTGGTCATTTTTAGAGTATGTCAAGTATTAAATGAACATGGCAGCATATGACCTGTAATGAAATGACTGTTATTATTATGATTATACAACAGCGCACACTAGGATGCAAGACGTAATGCATGGCAGTACGTTTAACCCATAATCGTTAATTGAATACTGGTGTAGCCCACACTCCTAAGTTATGAGAAACTTGGCGCACTTCAGCAGATATAAATAGGAGTATATCATATATCAATAACAGGTCTTAGTGTCATTGGGGTATTTCAACTTAAATAGGTGTATATCAATCATGGGTCTTAGTCTCACTGGCGCATTTTAGCGTGTGTAACTTGGACTATAATATCAATTATAGGTGTCAGTCTCGAACGTAAGCACACGTGTGTCTTTAAAAGGACAAGACGCGCTTTCATATCTTTAAATAAGGTGATATGATTGTTTATGGTTCCATTAAAAGGGCTTGAAAAGTAATTCTATCAAAACACTACTTAACTTGATTAGAAACTGTCACGGGGGGGGGGGGGGGGGGGGGGGGGGGGGGGGGGTAATTCTGTCACAGTCCTGGGCTCGAAGGCTGATGTGTCTGCCGTCGGGTAGCGATGCTGCCAAGCCAAGCCAATGCATGTGGATGCGGCATCTGTAGGTCGATACAACGGTGCATCAAAGGGGATTCGAGTCTGGATCTTCCGAGGATTTGAGTCTGGATCTTCCGAGGATTCGAGTCTGGATCTTCCGAGGATTGGAGTCTGGATCTTCCGAGGATTGGAGTCTGGATCTTCCGAGGATTCGAGTCTGGATCTTCCGAGGATTCGAGTCTGGATCTTCTGAGGATTCGAGTCTGGATCTTCCGAGGATTCGAGTCTGGATCTTCCGAGGATTCGAGTCTGGATCTTCCGAGGATTCGAGTCTGGATCTTCCGAGGATTCGAGTCTGGATCTTCCGAGGATTCGAGTCTGGATCTTCCGAGGATTCGAGCCTGGATCTTCCGAGGATTCAAGCCTGGATCTTCCGAGGATTGGAGTCTGGATCTTCCGAGGATTCGAGTCTGGATCTTCCGAGGATTGGAGTCTGGATCTTCCGAGGATTGGAGTCTGGATCTTCCGAGGATTCGAGTCTGGATCTTCCGAGGATTCGAGTCTGAATCTTCCGAGGATTCGAGTCTGGATCTTCCGAGGATTCGAGTCTGGATCTTCCGAGGATTCGAGTCTGGATCTTCCGAGCATTCGAGTCTGGATCTTCCCAGGAGTACAGGATGTGGAACGATCACGGCAGTGGCATGCGGGGTATTCTGGTACGCCTTTATAAAATCCGTTAAGAACGTCGGGAATGGCCATGTAAGGAGCGAAAAGGATATTACGAGCTCTTAATGAACGGCTGTCTATTTCCTTGTGGATATAGTACAACGTGTTTTGAGATTTGAAACTTGCGTTCTGTTGGAGAGCGTAGGCCACAGCCGATATATGCCAGATGGTAAGGAACGAAGATGAAGGTTTACAGGGTCCTATTTAGTTGGTGGCATCGACCATGTCCTTGAGGATGGCCAGGCGTGGTGTGAGATTGCGCCTTGTGCGTGCTGTTGATAACTTGGACATGTTCTACGGCAAGTGGCCCCGTCTGTTCATCTATTTTGTTATTTTTCTTTCAAAGCTGTTGTCAATAAAAATTATTAAGGGCTGTCCTCAACTAAATCCTTAAAGACTGTCCTCAATAAAATCCTTAAAAGCTGTCCTCAATTAAATCCTTAAAGGCTGTCCCCAATTAAATCCTTAAAAGCTGTCCTCAATTAAACCCTTAATTGCTGTCCTCAAATCCTCAAAGGATGTCCTCAACTAAATTCTTAAAAGCTGTCCTCACTTTAATCCTGCCGATAACGTCTAAACAACTTTAGCCGTGTGCCGAGTGGTTGTTGGCACCGGTACTATGTGGTCATCACGCATCTGTAATTATAATTAACTATGTTTGTTATAACCTGTAATGGCAGGGTAATTAAACCCGTTGCTGTGGTATTTGCATAGTTTCAGATATTTTCCTTTGTCTTTGGGTCCCTTTTCTTTGTAATTTGTAGTTTTTCTTCGGATCCTTTTTCTTCGGCGTTTTTCTTTGGATTTTTCTCCGACTATAAATACTCTTTCTTATACAACACTCTAAGAACAAATAAATGGCAGCACCGCCATTCGCACCCGGGTCCCATTAGACTGAATGCTATTCGGATGTCATTTGTGGTAGTTTATTTTAGTTAAACTGAAGAATTAAGTTTACAAGCATATAGTCCATTCAATTATCTTTCATTTGATACCTCATTTTGTCTAACAAACCCAACAATAATATTTTCAATAGTTTTTTTAATCCCAACCTCTCACTTCTGGTACCCGGGTACGAATAGCCACTTCCTTTATGATATGCTATTAAAAAATCCTGAAGTCATGAGAGCTATCCACTCATCTCAGAAATATTCATGTGTCATGATTATGACATTAATAATTACAATTCACTTGCTGACGCTTCATATCTCTGACATGCGTCGGTTGTGTCAATTCATTTTTATTTTTTAACAACATGTAAATTGTTATTAGTTACTCACTGACAAGCTGTTACTCACTGACAAGCTGTCTTTCCGCCTGTGAGCATTGAACAAGTGACATGTTTAATGTCAGACTCAGGACGTATTCATTAATTACTCATATAACATTTTGACTACTTACCCACTCCATTGTACACATATGTTTCATCTGCTATTCCTGATTAACGTAACGACAGGTTTTGCTACAGGCCATAACATACAGTATGCTATATAACGTACAATAACATACAGTGCACTATATAACGTCCATTACATAGAGTATACTATATAATGTCCGTAACATACAGTATACTATATAAACATACAGAAACATACGGTTCACTATATAACATCCATAATATACAGTACACTATATAACGTTCATAACATACAGTACACTATATAACATCCATAACATACAGTACACTATATAACATCCATAACATACAGTGCACTATATAACGTCCATAACATACAGTACACTATATAACGTCCATAACAGACAGTACACTATATAACGTTCATAACATACAGTGCACTATATAACGTCCATAACATACAGTACACTATATAACGTTCATAACATACAGTACACTATATAACGTCCATAACATACAGTACACTATATAACGTTCATAACATACAGTACACTATATAACGTTCATAACATACAGTACACTATATAACGTCGATAACATACAGTACACTATATAACGTCCATAACATACAGTACACTATATAACGTCCACAACATACAGTACACTATATAACGTTCATAACATACAGTACACTATATAACGTCCACAACATACAGTACACTATATAACGTACACCAATGAAGCTGTAATTTGCCCTTCAGAAAAGCATGTCTTTCAGTCAATTTTCACCATACGCTATTAGCTTCTTTTTTTTTTTTGGGGGGGGGGGGGG